GAGAGAAGCTTCTGTTGAGGAATTTCCTAGATCAAATTGGCCTGTGTGCATAATGTGGGAGGTTGTCTTGATTTGTAAGTGATTTAGGTGGGCTCAGGCCCCCTTGGGGTAGTTGTGTTCCTAGGCTGAATAAGGAAGTAAACTAAGCATGAACCTGTGATGGAGTCAGCCGGCTTTGTTCCTCCATGGTTCTTACTTTCAATTCATGCCTTGACTTCCCTCAGTGGTGAACTGCAACCTGGAAGTGTAAAGCCAAATACCACCCACCCCCTTTAACTTGCTTTTGTCTTGGTGTATGTCACAGCAACAGAAAGGAAACTAGAACAGTACTGGAGATCAAGTGTCTCAGCATATGTTCTGTTTGAACTCTCCTTCACCTCCATATGGGCCCACACTTGGACTCACAGCCATTCTGCCAGCTATGGACTGTCCTCAGATTAATGAGATTGGAAACATCAGACAGAGACCCTTTCCAAAACCCATTTTCTGCAAAGCAGGCAAATTGTGCCCTTATTTCCCTTCATCTCTACTTCATCTGTAATCAGCAAATGGGGCCCCTCAGCCTGCATTGTGTTTTCTGTGCAATCTTTTAGCCTCCATGAGTTTGCACAACACTGAACCTTCTCATTTTGAAATTCAGGAGTAGCAGAGGAAGCCTTGGGCAGAAGATTGTAATTTGGGAGAAGGGGAAGTCAAGAAGATCACCTGTTCTGAAGAGGGCTGGCACAGAAGGAAATTGCTTTGCTTCATCAGTGTCTGAGCCTCTGAATGGATGTGCTCCTGTCATCCTGCCCTCCATCTCCGGTGGCCTAAAAATCACATAATTTCAAACATTCACAGAACTGATTCCTTTGTGCATGGATGGTCCACTTACCCCCTCTATTGCCAGCAGATGTGTCTAAATCTTTCTACTTCACAGCCAGGCTTTGGCTTCTGTGTGGGTGTCTGGGAATGAGTGAATACCCTGAAGCATATTTATCAGACTTTTCGCTTTCAGCCTCCTCCCAGGGTTTGCCCCAGGTGGGGCAGATTTATCCTTGGCTTCATAGGTTCTTAGTCTGAGCCTGAGAATTAAATTGTCCTAAAATAGAATAGAGAACGGCATATATTTTGCATATAAACGGCATCCACTACAGGAAAATAAAAAGCCTTGAAGGAGGAACCAAGCATGGGGACACTTGGCTGTAATCCCAGCACATAAGAAGTAGAAACAGGAGGATCGTGAGTCAGGGCCACCCCTGGTGGCACAGCACAGCAAGGTTCAAGCCAGCCTGGGATAATTGAGACAGTCTCAAAACAACAACAGTAACAACAAAAACCCTTAAAACGTGACACAACCTCTGGATGCTTACTTAGTGGCTAAATAGAGGTGGCCGTTTTAGAGACATATCCAAAATCTTGGGGTATTAAAGAGCTTCAGAGGTATTTACCCCAGATGTATTCGTGCATATTTTTTCTGGGCTATAACTGAATGTCTGAATTTACCCATTTCTGAATTCCTGCTCTCCCACTCTAGGCCAGGCATCTCACACTCATCATTTCTTACTTCCCCCTGTGGGGATGTTTCTCTTTCATTGGCTAAGCGAGGGCAGAGTGTCCCTCTTGAATCTGCTGATTTTCAAGTACCTTTAGTTTACAATAATCCTTCTGCCAAGTGGCATGTTTTCAAGTGGCATGTGCTGCCACCTTTCATTCATTTGCTAAATGCTTCCCTTGCAGAATGAGGAGTGTAGTCATTTCGTAAAAGCACTGCAGGTAATTCTGATGGACTGTCTCCCTCGGCAACCGCTTGCCTAGTCAACTAACGAATTAACAAGCCTTTGAAATTGCTGCTCATTGATCCCAAACTGTTCTTTTATAATCTGGATTGCTTCCCTCCTTGCAACAGAAGTGTTCAGAGTAGCCATGTTTCTTTAAGGATTTTTTAAAATTAATTGCAACTGATTCCTTGATGTTAGGTTGATGTATACACATTCGCCCATGCATGAAGTTATCCATTTGTTCTGAATATTGATAGTTTTATATTTTATTTTATTGATTGACATACAATTAACCTTTTTGTGGTTTTTGTAATCGGCTTTTCTATGTGTATGACCATAGGAGATCACTGGGTGGGTGTCATTCTTCATTTACCAGGGTTCTTTAGAGGAACAGAACTTAGAGAATCAATTAATTTCTCTCTCTCTCTCTTTCTCTCTCTCTCTATATATATATGTGTGTGTGTGTGTGTGTGTGTGTGTGTGTGTGTGTGTGTGTGTGTGTGTGTATGCATGCAATTTATTAAAATGGCTTACATCTGTGTTCCAGCTAGTTCATCAATGGCCATCTACTAATGGAAGGTTCAAGAATCCAGAAGTTGTTCAATCCGAAAAGCTTGATGCCTCAGGTGGTTTTCAGTATGTGTTTTCTGAAGAAGTGGCCTCTCTCATGCTCGAGAAGGAATGACTTGCTTGTAGTGTGATGCTTTACTCTCTTGGTTTTTTTTGAGGAGCCCTCCATGCAGCTCCCAAATAAAGTTTACATGGATGCCTGTTCTTAGTTAAGAATGCCCAGCCTTAACCTGGATTGTTTCTTTCCATCATTTCTTCACTTAAATTATCCCATCTACCTTTTCTCTCTGGGCTTTTATCTTCTTATTTCTGCATATTTTAATTTTCTTCTTTCTTTCTTCCTGACTGGCTGGCTGTCTCCTGAACTCCTCCTCTCCTTGTTCTGTTGCTCTTCTTCCTGGTTTCCTCATTCTGTTTATACTGTCTGCCTGCCAGCCCCGCCTATCCTTGCTCTTGCCTCACTATTGGCCATTCGGCTCTTTTTTTAGGACCATCAAGTGTTTTAGACAAGGAAAGATTCACAGCTTCACAGATTTAAAACAAATGCAGTGTAAAAAAAAAAAAAGTCCCACATCTTTACATCTTTAAACAAATGTTCCACAGCATAAACAAATGTAACACCTTGAAATAATATTCTACAACACTTTCCTATGACAGGGTAGGCAGTCAAAGAGCAGGCACTTCCTTCTTCCATGTACTTTACATAGGCTGCCACCAGAAGGCATGGCCCACAGTTAAGCTGAATCTTCACAACTCAAAAGATCCAATTTTAGGATGAATCTCCCACTTCAAGTGGTTCAATCAAGAAAAATCTCTCACAGGTATTCCCAGCTGCTTGGGTTTTACCTAATTCAAGATGTAGTCTTGTTGACAACCAGGAATAGCCATCACATTTGCTCTTTCACTCTACAACTTATTTCCTTGAGGCAGGGCCTCTCACTGAATTTGGAGCTAGTGTGTGGATCCTCCTTCATCTGTCTTGCCCACAGCACTGGGGTTAGAAGCTGGTATGCCTCCACACTCAGCTTTCTAGCTAAGTGCTGGGGAGTAGGATGTAGGTCCTCATGCTTGTATAGCAAGTGATCCATCTCCTTTTCCTCTTGTGTTTGGTTCTCTTATTTATATGGGGCAGATTTTATATTTCCTAAGATAATTGGACATTTAGTAATCAGCCAGTAAATGTTTATAGATAGAGTGAACAAATAGTTTCCTGGTTTAATGGAGATTTCAATAAAGAGATTGTATAGTCCTAAATTTTGTATATAGAAAAGTAGCATCTCTAGTGTCTGAAAGCATAGGCTTCTTATATTATGAAAAACAATTTTTAAAACATGTCAGTTCCTTTTGGCTACATGGACACAGATTGTTTTCCCTCTTGCCTCCACTCCCCAGAGTAGAGATTCACAGTCTTAATTGAAGGAAAGGTGATTGTACTGCTGTTTCTAGGACATTATCAGGTCTCTGGGAAGCTAATGTTCCAGCATGGGGTCCATCAGGTCTCTGGGAAGCTGTTCTGCAGAGTCATGAAAATGCCTTGATTAATATGTTACAGGAAAATAAAATGGATTTGAAAAATTATAGCATAATATCAAATATTAATTCATATTTATGGAATTGGACATAATTTTCAGTACACTTCTGGAGGCACCTTCAGTATGAGTGGAAGCTTGGTCTCCCAAGAAACCAAATGTATGAGGCAAATTAATTCTTATTTATTTAAGATAGGGTCTCTTGGAACCCTGGCTACAGCTCACTGTGTATCTGAGGATGACCTTGAATTTCTGATCCTGCTGCTTCACCTCCCAAGTGCTAGGATTATAGACATGCACTGTCATGCCCAGCTTAATGTGGTACTAAGAATGGAGCCCAGTTTCTCATTCATTGTTGCCAAGTGCTCTGTCAGCTCACATATACACATAATACAATATTCTGCTGGATATTTTAACTCCTTGGATTTTTGTATATAGGAAGAAAATTTTAACTACTGGCTGTTTACCTGGCTTATTTTGAAGCAGTTGATTACTGGAGCCAGTTGTCCAATGTTGTGCTTTTTCTTCTTTCAAGAGGTTATGGTAACACTTTATTGTCCTTTCACAGGGTGTCCTTTTTGATTCAGATCCAGGCCATTCACAGGACAGTCCTACAGCCTATGTGTCCATTTGCTCTCTTTTCTTTATTTCTTGACTGCTCCAGTCAGTTCTAAGTCTCGGGAGCTGTGCTTATAACTGTAATCCCAGAACTTTGAGGGCAAAGAGAGGAGGAGCCCTATGGTTTGCTGGTCACCCAGCCTAGCTGAATAAGCAAACCCTGGCCAATGAGAAACTTTCTCATAAACAAGGAGAGCAATTGGAAAACACACCAGAGATTTACTTTTGGCTTGCGCACGTGCGTGTGCGTGTGTGTGCGCGCGCGCGCGCCCCCCCGCACACGCACGCACGTACACACACACACACACACACACACACACACACCTATACCTTCATATTCTAACAAAGCATCCATAAGCACAAAGGAATAAAATCAACATATTTGTGGCATCATGTGTGATTCAGGAAATTTGATCACTATTTCTGTATCCATCCCTCCGTTCTAACCTTATTTAGCTGTCTTTAGGCTGTCCTTAGATACTCATGTAACCACCACTTCCTTTTTTTTTCTTCTTTTCTGCAGAAAGATGTAGCAGTTAAGCCTCAGGAACGAGTGGAGAAGCGGCAGACTCCCCTGACCAAGAAGAAACGAGAAGCTCTTACCAATGGCTTGTCTTTTCACTCCAAGAAGAGCCGGCTCAGCCACTCACACCATTACAGCTCGGATCGAGAAAATGACCGAAACCTCTGCCAGCACCTTGGGAAGAGAAAGAAGTTGCCTAAGGGACTCAGACAGGTGAGCAAGCCTGGTTTATTCTTTCCTAGGACCTTCTCTTCCCTCTTGCGTCTCTGTAGTTCTCAATGGGGGACAAATTCCTTAATATGATAATGTGGTAATTGATTTGGAAAGTTGTATGCTTGATTCTAAATAATAGGATCACACTCTAGATGTGTTCTCTGTATTTGACTAACACTCACCACTGTCACTTTCATTTCAACGTTTGCCTTGCATCAGAGCTCCATGTAGTACTGCTGGTACAGAGAGTTGGCTACATGATGGAGATGGCCTGGTTTCTATAGAGATGTTTATGGTGAGGACAGATGGCTTGGGGAAATCGATTATAGCTATTGTACATCGCAGGGTTCTGGTGTGCTAAAAATGGTGGTCTGTGTGTTAGCAGGGGCTCATATACAATTCATATTGTGGCATTTGGGAGGGCTGTGGCACTGCAGTGTGCTCACCTCTGTGCAACCATTGCTTTCCACAAACATAAAACTCAGGATGGTCTTTGTAACTGTTTGAACAGAAGTTTTGTTGAGGGGGTGGTCTATGGCATTTGAATAATTAGCTTGCATTGACCCACAAGCAAATAACAGTGCTTTGCATTTGAGGAGCCTTTCTGCCTTTTGTGGACATCCCTATGTGAAATGGATTGATACTGAGAAACAAAGTTGTCCAGAGCAGTTTGTCTTCACATATTTCTTTTGTACTTGTAGAGTTACTTGCATCGTGAGTGCGTTTTGTTTGTTTTTAGGAACACTATTGTGTGGCACTGACTGTCACTTCAAAGGAGCTGAGATGGGAGTTGTTGTAGTTGAAAGAACAGGTGCTATGCAGTCCATTTCTAGTTTGCAGAGATTTCTCTGTAGAGTATAAGATCTGAGATCACAGAAAACAGTGGTTCTAAAACGTCACAGATCATTACAACCACATCATGCACTGCAGTAAACACAAATCCCCTGCCTCTGCCTGTGAGCTAATGCTGTCTTTACTGTAAGACATTTATGGGGTGACCACAGTCAGGCTGGCTTGGAAGTCACTTGTGTAAAACTTCAGAAGTGTGTGGGAGTGATGATGCTCAGTTAGCGGTTTGGAAAGAGGTTAGAATGGGCTGCTTGGTGTCATAAAAGGAATGAACGACATTCCTGTGTAGAGACATGGAGAGTGATGGGTGTCAGTGAAAACACAGAAGGCCTGTATCGTAACGTTCTCAGTTATGACCCAAGGCACCACCAAACTCACTTGTCAGTAGTGTCATTTATCTATAGTTACACCATCTGCAGTAACTGTGCTACAGACCTTCTGTCCCACGCGCTGTATGTTCTCGCCGGCAAGAAATACACGCAGGACACTCGAATCCTTCTGCAGACAAGCTTTAATGCATCTTGAGAGTTGGGAGAGCATAAGCTTACCAGAGCGGAGACCCTGAACCAAGAATCCCATTCCTTAATAAAGGCTGGCAAGCCGCCTGGGACATGTTACCCTATGAATGGCTTCAGCTCCTCAGGCCAAATGAGCCACGGGATAGGCAGAGATCAAAGGAATGGAGATTACCCAGCGCCTGTGAAGTAATTTACATTTTGGTGTCTTCAGGCACCATTATTGTAATGGAGAATGCAGGAAACGGCTCCCTACAGCCTTCAGTGTATGTAGCTAGCAAGTCATGTAGTAACCCTGCCTTGTGGGTAATTACCAAGTGTACTTTAGAAAGATGGAAACTGGGGCTGTAAGAGATGAAGTAGCTCATCAGAGAACACATTGCCATGTGTGATTTAGACACGAACCTCCTAGCCCCATAGTTTGCTCCATATCCTCTGTATTATGTTCTCTTTGTTTGATGTGAGGGTTAGACATAGAAGAAAACTTTAGAGCATAGGATGGAGAGAGGATGACCTATGAATATTTCTAGAAGCAACACGATCAAACAGCATACTTGGTCTTGGAAGCTGCTCCTGTGAAGTCATAAGATGAATCAGAATAACCTGTGCTTGAAGCAGCAGCAGCAGCAGTAGCACAGAGTTGGAAAGCTAGATAGTAAAAGAAGTTAAATGGAGACTGTGTGTGTGTGGGTGTGTGTGTGGGGGGGCGAGGGTGTGTGTTTGTGTGTGTGTGTAGTAGCAGTGGACACAGAGAAGATTGGGGTCCATAATCACCAGTGGAGAGAGGCCACAATATTGCTACCTCTATCCCAGACCCTCTTGCCTTCCCAACATGATGTAGGGCTGCTTCTGACCCTGTCAGGCTAGACCACTTTACTTCCATGTAGAGGCCAAGTGGTATGTCTTCCACACTGACCTGTATCTTACTTTTCTTTCACTGGTCATAAAGTTCTCCTTGTGATTTTTGTGAAACCTGGGGTTTCGGGGTTCATTTCTGAAAACATTAGTGATCACTACAGAAGACTTGGGCTCATGTGTCTGGATTTTGACTGACTTTTGTTCTTAATGGCCAAGTGATACTTTTGGTATTCATTGTATTTGAAGTCAAAGCTTTTGTTGTTTGATACTTGATTAGCACATACTTACTTTGCAAATAAAAAGAAAGAATACTACCTTTCACCTATAATTCCAAAGAATTACATGTCCTTTCTTGATGCTTGAATGTACTAGGTTGTCACTAAATCTGTTTATATTAAGAGAAAGTAGAGTTCATAACTGAAGTAAGAGCATAATACTTGTTATTGGTAATAATCTTAGCATGATACTTGTTATTGATAAATAATCTCTTCTGCTGCCTTCCTGGAAAATAAAATTCCTGAAGTAGGTTTCTTAAGATATTTCTTCTGAGCCTTGTGATTATTTAAATTCACCAATAATGTGGTCAAATAGAATGTTAGAGATCTGTGAAGGAGACCATAATGGGCCAAAGGAAGGCAACTTGTTTTAGTGTATGTGTGTGTATTTGAGTAATGTCTCAATGAAGACATTTAAGTGGCAGGAAGAAACATTTGTAGGATAACGTATCATCTCTTGTGTAAACATTGATTGGTAAATGGTAAGACACTATATTTAGAATTCTAGGACTAGATGAAGGTCTTAGCTAAAGGCCCTTGCTGCCAACCCCAATGACTTATGTTTAATCCTTGGGAATCACATGGTAGAAGGAAAACAACCAACTCCAGCAAGTACACAGACTCATACAAGACACACACACACACACACACACACACACACACACACACACACTGTAATTAAAACACTTTAGAAAGAATGATAGGTGGGATTGCTTTTGTATTGTGATAAACCAGTATATATCACAGTCCCTTTTTCTGTCCTTTGACTCCTAGCAGGTAGAGTAACTGAATCTGACTGTCTCAGCTGGGTGGGTTCTTCTGAGTGAGCCTTGAGGAGAGTTTTTAAATTAATAGATTGTCTTTTAGTGTCTCTGGCTGAGGGAGTTACAGTGTCAAGACTGATAGATGACAATGGGCATGAGAAGAGAGGACTTAGTCTTCCTTCTTGACACGAGGAAAGTGAATTAACTTTGCATTCTATTAGGGTGGTGCTTCCTGAGCAGGCAACTTAATACATGGCTTTTCTGTTATTATGGAAGACATTACTCTTTAGTAGAAAGGAAATAATAGGATTTTTTCCTGAGAGTCTGTTTAAGGCAACTAATCTTTTCACTCTTAGAGTGCAATTATATACTTTTAAGAGAGAAGGGGAAAACGGTGTAGTTCTATAACCAAATTGCTTTTCCTTCCCATGTCTGATTATAAAAACACGGCTCCTATGGTATGTTTCAATTCTGTCAAAAGAAAGTGTTTTAATTGGCACTTAGCTTATTTGCTGGATTATGTTTTTAAGGATAAATACATACTGTCTTAGAAGAGAGCTGATCATTAACTGCATTGCCAAATGGTTTTGGATTTGAACAACACTGTCCCCAGTTCTCAAAAGACCAGAAAAATAAATCTGATCAAAGGAGTAAATTGCTATGACACAAAATAGTGAATGTCTCTGTGACCTGCTGGTTTGAAAACTTTCTATAGTATCTCCACAAACCTAGAGACTACTAGTAAATAGACAGAATTGCATATAAATATGGCTGGGAATTTGCTGAAGTCTCAGGTGAGGTCCCATTACCCTCCTTACTCCTTCCCTTTATGAAGGAATGTTAGTAGTCTACAGGTCACATCATGGTGTACAAACAGGCATAGCCAGTCTCATGGAGATTGTGGTGATTTGGTTTGCAGGCTAGCACATTATAATACTTATCTTAGATGTTTCTTCTGTGTAGAGCTGTTGAGTACTTCCAGTGTGAGCAGACATTGGAAGTGTTAGCTTTGACTGGTGATGACACAGGGGATGTGGTTTACTCCTGCTTTGACTTGGGTGAATATGGAGCAGAAACAGTAGTACTTCACCATAGGACCTTCTTTCTTTAATTGGGAAACTGTGTCACACTGTAACCACCAAGCAGTATAAAACCATGTCTTTCCTAACCCTCTATCCAGATTATGACTTGTCACGGAAGATTTGGGAAAACTTAACCCTTTCATGAGCATTAAGGAAACTTTGATTTTTCTGCATTATATATGTCTTAACTTCTAAACTGTAGAAATTTCTGCTTTCAAAATTTAATATGCTGTAGCTTAAAAGCACAGCGAAGACAAAGGTGTTTTAAAAATAATGTAGTCATGATGAAATGTTGATGAAAATTGGGAGAACTCTGAGTTAGCTTCAATTGGAGTTCTAAATTTGTGTTTAATCGTGTTGTTTGTCCTTTCAAATATGAACTGTGCTGGAGGAAGTAGTCTAAAGCATGCAAGAGGCCATCATTTGGTTATATGAATATGTTCATGCATGAATGCATGCATGTGTGATGCATATGGGTATGCACAGATACATGCATTGATCGCTGCAAGCATATGTAGAGGCCAGAGGACAATTTCAGGTATCATTCCTCAGGAGAAACTGCTGTCTTTTCTCTCTGAGACAGGATATTTCTGGCTAGGAGCTTGATAATTCAGCTAGACTGGCTGTAATAGGGGTGATGGAGTTTTTTGTCAGGAC